TACATTTTTAATGCGACTCATTTGCGATAAACAATATTCCAATTTTTCCAGGACTCGAGCATTCTTTGCTATGCTTGGAGGCCTCGTACGCGACTATCGAGGATATTCGCGATATTATTCTGGGAAGACTGGAAGCTTTCGTCTCGATAGCGCATGGAATAAGGACTATAGGTTCGGCGGCTTTAACATTGTGTCACGTAGCTATGGGAGCTGTTGAGGGTTATCATTCTGACAATCTGATGCCGTGGGACGTAGCCGCGGGTGTTCTTATCATCAGGGAGGCTGGCGGTATAGTGATCGATACAAATGGTAAAGATTATCTCTCCGATATAAAATTAATCAAGCGTAATAAAACGCGTATTATTTTTTTGTTTCTTGTTTAGGTGGAGAGTTCAATGTTATGTCACCGAAACTTTTAGCAGTTGGTAATTACAGACTAGCAAGAGAACTCGTAAAATTAATAAAACACGCGGATCTCAAAACCCACCAAAGAAGCCTGTTGTTACAAGCAACGAAATAATGTTCCTACATGTATTAAAGACAAGACTTGGAATAAGTATATGGTTTACAAGAGAACGTTTTATATTTAATATTATTTAAATTATTGAAACATTTGCATATATAATTGTTGTATAAGATATATTATCGCAGCGAATCGTGTATGTATTAATATTAATAATTATACTACATATATAAATTATAAATTAATTGTGTGTACTGTAAACAAGTAAATATCGACGCTCTCGCGATGCAGACGGTACTTTAACTGGAGCGATACGTTTCGCGGTACGTTATTTGCAAACTTGTTGAAAGAAGCGAAATATCGCGCAGTTTCGCAAAGAATCATCAAGATGACGACTCGAGAAGAACTCGATTATTGCTACGATTTCGTATTGGATCTTACCATGGAATCTGGAAAGGTATATATGTAACTTACAATACTGATGATATTGTAATAATATAATGCAATGCAGAACATAAACTTTGATCGTTCAGACTAATATATTTGCCAAACAATTGTTTACTTATTATACAAAAAGCTCTACTGTTTGATATAGAGCGAAATAATAAGAAAAATGCACTGGAATTTTAAGGGTTAAAATATGCGCTTATCAACATAAATTTAACATAATTCGATGACGAAGGGCAAATTAGAATCGTATGCTTCCGTGAAGTTGGCATTTAATTTTTAAAAATTGAAAGTTTTTATCAACAGTTCTATTTACATCCGCAATAGTTCTACAGTTCCAAATAGGTATTAGGAACTGTAGAACTATTGCGGATGTAAATGACATATATAGATTTTAGAAAAAGTTCCGTCGATTTAGCTAAAAAAATCATACCCGAAAAAAATGAGGTGCTAACTACTCATGGTACATTACTTTTAAAAAAAACATCATTAAAAATTAATAAAACACGCGGATCTCAAAACCCACCAAAGAAGCCTGTTGTTACAAGCAACGAAATAATGTTCCTACATGTATTAAAGACAAGACTTGGAATAAGTATATGGTTTACAAGAGAACGTTTTATATTTAATATTATTTAAATTATTGAAACATTTGCATATATAATTGTTGTATAAGATATATTATCGCAGCGAATCGTGTATGTATTAATATTAATAATTATACTACATATATAAATTATAAATTAATTGTGTGTACTGTAAACAAGTAAATATACTTATTTAAGTTTAATTAAGCCTTCGTCTCTCCAGGGGGGTAAAGAGGGATTATTATAAATCTCGAATTGAGATTAATTTTTAAAAAATCTTGGTATACACCAAGTAAATTTCGTGCCCTGTGCACATATTCAGTTTCATAGAAAACTTATTTTTCTATGAAGCTGACGCACTGCCATCCGCGCTCTGGCTCTTACTAGCCCGCGATTATTTGAATTTGTGAGTTCACTCGAGAGCCTAATTTCTTAAATTTGATACTTATTTAATATATGTATTGAATTTAATTGTATGTACAAAGGACCTTCTGATTTAGACATTTTCGAATTGGACGCATCGTGTCTATGAAATATAAAATCAACAGAACCAAACATAATTCTGTTCATTTTCCATTCGCTGATAACATTGCTAATTCTTCTCGCTGAAGTTATGATGCATCAATACCTTATCGTCAGATACGATGTGTCCGATCCGAAAATGCTGAACCTGGAAGTGAAGATGTTTTTGACATTTCTTGAAGTATATAGCATCGATATATATGTATATATAAGAGAGAAAGAGAGAGAAAGAGAGAGAGAGAATAGTAAATAAAGTAAGGTATTTTGGTGCCAGCGCTAAGATTAAAAAAATATTTTAAAATATTTAAAGGTTGGAATTATTGTTAAAACTTATCAGGAACTCTTCGAGAACTATAGAATTTCATAGTTTTAATGATGTTTTTTTTAAAAGTAATGTACCATGAGTAGTTAGCACCTCATTTTTTTCGGGTATGATTTTTTTAGCTAAATCGACGGAACTTTTTCTAAAATCTATATATGTCATTTACATCCGCAATAGTTCTACAGTTCCTAATACCTATTTGGAACTGTAGAACTATTGCGGATGTAAATGACATATATAGATTTTAGAAAAAGTTCCGTCGATTTAGCTAAAAAAATCATACCCGAAAAAAATGAGGTGCTAACTACTCATGGTACATTACTTTTAAAAAAAACATCATTAAAACTATGAAATTCTATAGTTCTCGAAGAGTTCCTGATAAGTTTTAACAATAATTCCAACCTTTAAATATTTTAAAATATTTTTTTAATCTTAGCGCTGGCACCAAAATACCTTACTTTATTTACTATTTTTGCAAAAATAAAACATTGCGGTAAGACACGCGTTATTTTCAGGTGATACGTGATGCTTTCCAAGGATCTAAAAAAATTGAAACAAAATCTGGCGATTGGGATTTGGTGACGCAGTACGACAGAAAAATCGAAGAGATTCTAATCGATAGTCTGGCAAAAAGATTTCCTACGCATAAGTAAATTATCAATTTCTAAAAATTATATAGAAATAGATTAAATTTTTTAATATGCATTGTTTATATAAAATACATATGAATAAATAAAAAGTTATTATTTTAGAAAAGTGTATCCTTTTACATACATAAATTATATATACATACATATATACAGAGAGAGAGAGAGAGAGAGAGAGAGAGAGAGAGAGAGAGAGAGAGAGAGAGAGAGAGAGAGAGAGAGAGAGAGAGAGAGAGAGAGAGAGAGAGAGAGAGAGAGAGAGAGAGAGAGAGAGAGAGAGAGAGAGAGAGAGAGAGAGAGAGAGAGAGAGAGAGAGAGAGAGAGAGAGAGAGAGAGAGAGAGAGAGAGAGAGAGAGAGAGAGAGAGAGAGAGAGAGAGAGAGAGAGAGAGAGAGAGAGAGAGAGAGAGAGAGAGAGAGAGAGAGAGAGAGAGAGAGAGAGAGAGAGAGAGAGAGAGAGAGAGAGAGAGAGAGAGAGAGAGAGAGAGAGAGAGAGAGAGAGAGAGAGAGAGAGAGAGAGAGATCGCACATTCTTTTCTCTTTTTATGTAATCCAATAAACTTCAAGAGATTTCAGAGAATGTTTTATAAACCTCAAAAAATTTGTTTTATGACAATTCGCGTCATGTACAAAAGAAAATTTGCGCAAGAGGCATGTATATTAGTTCTCCCGTATATTGAAATTTGCTTATTTGCGCAACCCTATATCGCTTAGAGAAATAACGGATAGTACGAAGTACGCCTTCTATGCTGGGAATTGGTCAGTCGTAAAGACAAATCTTTCAACTATCATGTCGAGTGATCTAGACATCGCAAAGTGCTACAAGTTTGTGAAGGAAATCACGCTATGGGCTGGTGAGGTGCGACACATTAAGTCAAACATTTCGGCGATAAAATTAAATAATAAAATTTGTAACGTATCGACGAGGATTTTCGAATATCTTGATGTACTTGAGTAATAATTCTTCCACGGGGGAAGTGTCTTACCGATAACGCTCACCTTGTATCTTTAAGAAATTCTAGCAAAATAAATATTTAATGCGCCTCGCATATAAATTTTCTAAAAATGATAATAATAATATATTACGACTCGAAAATTTGTAGGCGAAATAAAAATTTCTTCCTTTTTTCCCCCCTTATGTTAATCATAATCTCCTCTCTTTGTCCCCCTGCTTTTCTCTCTCTCTCTCTCTCTCTCTCTCTCTCTCTCTCCATATATTAATCGTATTATTTATATAGATAATCAAGTGTGCTTTCGAGTCTAAAAAAGTTGTACATAAAAAACAAGGAGAATGGGACTTAGTAACCAATATCGATTACAAAATTGAGAAAATGTTTATTGACAATCTGTCCACGGAGTTTCCTGATCACAAGTGAATTGCTATAATATCATGCATTATAATAATTATTAATAATAATAAGGGAGCTGTATCTACGTATACGGTATTGAGTATCTCGCCATGTTCTCCCCACTTTGCCCGCTTATGCGCGAACCGAGATCATTCTCTTTTTGGATAGAGTATAGATAATCAAACTTTGTCAAATTTAACGTAATTCAATCTAATATAGTAATTATATAATTATTCAATACACTGTTGGAAAAGTTGGCTTATATCACATGTCCCAAACGGTCCACACAAATTTTTGTGTTAATTTAATATAATATGGATATATTAAATAATGACACTAATATTATGTTAATATTTCAAAATGAATGCAAGCCATAATAATTTGAAATAAATTTTATGTAAAATCAACATATTTTTAACGATAAACTTAACTTGAAAAATGTTATTGACAGTTTGTAATCACTCTCATTCCTATTGTAGAATAAAATCAACATTTTTTTCTGTTAATTTTAACAAATAAATTCTGTCACTAATAATATGGAATATATTTATTGTGTAAAATTAAAAATATGTGTACATTGTGTTATTTTTACACTTTTTCATTAATTTTAATAATTTAACATTTGAGTTTAATTAATACAACAGCAATATGTCAAATTAAGACATAAGTGTGTTAAATATTTAACACAGAAATTTTAACCGGCGTATTTTTTAACAAGTAAACACAGATTTTCCAATAGTGTATAATGCAATTAATGCTGTATCGTGTATATATTCAAAATTATACTAAGCCTTACTAAAGATTGAAATACTTCGCGCTTCAGAATTATCGAGGAGGAAACGGTAGCTGCGATGCAGGAGATGCCGGAATTGACGGATGTGCCGATCTGATTCCTCGATTCGATCGACGGAACCGTCAATTTCGTACACATGTTCCCACCGAACTGCATATCCGTAGGTCTAACTGTCTGCTAAGAGCCCGTCCTAAGCATCATCTATAATCTTGTAACCTCGGAACTGTATCGCGCGATAAAAGGCGAGGTCGCGTTCCTAAACGGAAAATGGATTCACACCTTCAAAGGTAACAATTAATATTAAACGGGAACGATCACCTGGGAGCGAGTGCACTTGAAAGTGACTAAAATATATATGTATGTATATCAAAATTTTTTTTTTTTTTTTTAAATAGCATCTTAAATGTAAACTTTGGTTCGGTAACAAGTAGAGAAATTATAGAATTGTCGCGTGCGTTAATCACACCGATGATTCATTGGAGGAGAAGAATCGTAATATAATTTCGCAACGGACTGATAAAAAAAAAATTGATGTGTTTGATGTTTGAAACATTATTCTCATTGCTTCCAAATTTTTGTAAAACTGAAGAAAGCGCTGCAAATGATCGAGCCGAAAGTTATGCTAATAGTATATAAAAAAAGCAAGGACATTTTTTTTCGGTAGGATAGACGCCTTAGTCGAGGCCACGAGAGCGTAAATAAAATAATATATATACAATTATGTATATTTCACTTATAACAATGATAAATTTAGCCTTCTCTCAAAAATATATCGTCTCTAAATATATTTCGCATTAAAAGACTTTTTTACTCTCGACATATAATTTTGTTTTCTCAATATAATATTTCTCATAAATGTTAAAATTCACAAATTTACATTTACATAATTTATAGTGTTTAGTGAACATAATGATGTTGCGATATATATATAGTATAATGTATAAAGCGCGAAATATATATTAAAAAAAAAAAATAATAATAAAAAAGATTATTTTTTTTGTAGTAAAAGATACATATTTTTCTATTAAATTCAAAACCAGGAGCATGGGATCGGCCGCAATGAGCATGGCGTACGTAGCGCGGGTTGCAGTAGATTGCATCCAAGTAGATGGCCTCCAAGCCTGGGATATGGCGGTAGGAATAGTGATCGTTCGCGAAGCGGGTGGAACTATTATGGAGACGAAAGGTAAGAAAATCCGGATAAATAAACGAATATTGTGTGTATAACATCCATTTTCTTCCACGATATATTTATAAATCATGAATCTTTCGAGAAACCTGTTTCGAAACTCTATAAGTTTTACCTGAGATATCTTAATCATCGACGAGATGAGTAATGTAAACGAAATGACTCAAATCGCGTAAAAAGGAGGCATCTTTAACATATTAGCACACTCATTTCAAATAATAAGAAAATAATCACTTTACAAACTGCGCGCTAGAAATTTTAAATCGAAATCAGGATTGCAATTACATGCAGAGTCTTATTAAAGAAGAAAAGAAGACGGAAGGATTAATGTGACGCGCGATTAGAGCAGATTAATTATTACTATAATTATTTTCGCAGGTGGTGTCTACGACATTATGAAGCCGAATACCATTGCAGCGTCGAATGAAATCCTGCATGTGAGATGTCCAAATTAATCGTCGAAACTGACTTAAATATACAAAGAAAACAGCTTGAGAATCAGATGCAATGTAAAAAACAGACAAATCACGTTCAATGATTGAGAAGCTGAATGTAAAGCAGAAGAAGGCGTGTCCTCTCATGCGGGAGAAAACGTGTCTATCACGTAACACAAGGAGATTACTTATAAAAACCAGTCTAAAGAAGTTTCCTACGAAAAATCCTACTGACGCACTCGCAACATGTAGTATGATATCAATCCGATCGTGTTAATGTAAAAGATGTGTTATGTCGTTTCCATGTTGCGCAACGAATAACATGATTTTTCCCAATTTTCCTCTCGATTGAGAAATCTTTCTCTCGTCATTGTTATAAATACACCTTACAATAATGATAAATTTATCCATCTGTCAAAAATATATCGTCTGCAAATATATTTCGCATCAAAACAGTATTTTTTTGCTCTCGACATATAATTTTGTTTCTTCAATATAATCTTATATAAATGTTAAAATTCACAACAAATGTACATTTACATAATTTACAGCAACAATGTTCAATGAACGTAATGAAATATATAAATATTATTGTATTCGTTCGCAAATTATATGCTCTATAATGTATAAAGCGCGATATCAAATTAAGAAAGATTATTTTTTTAGTCTCACGTACATACATACACACACACACACGCGCGCGCGCGCACGCACCGTAAATGTATAAATAAAATTATTTATTTAAAAACTAGAAACATACATTGTGTAAGAGGCAATGTTGAATAATTATATGTGTTACACAAAACTGTTTACTTTTATTACAGAAAAAGAAGAAAACCGTAACGCAAATATGCGGACGCAATTTTATTGCATTTCTGAAATTTATATTTGCATCCATTTAATGATTCCAGTTTCTTACAATTCGCAAAACATATATAGAGAGAGTAATATTTTTTAATTATAAATTAAATAATCAGTTAACTTAACATTTATCGATCTAATTAATTATGGGGCGGGGAGGCACCACAATATTAAAAAATTAAAGTAATTATCTGAGGGCTTTTGCATGTCCGTTCGTTTTGTAAGATACTGATATTAGTAAATAAGATAAAAAGATTAATTAGCAAGAACGTTGAAAGATTATTGTCAACAATCTTATTATTACACGTGATAAATATTTATGGCTGCTCGTCGGATGTTATAAATTGCTTTACCAATTCCTCCTTACAATACATACAGATACAATGCATCTTCGATTCGTATGATTGATCTTTTAGATCAACTGTCATTTACTTAATCCTCGATTGCGCTCTTCGCATTTTTTAAATAAATCGCGATACTATACGAATAAACAAAAAATCGTTATATATGCCGTACGATGCTCGTCAACAAAAAAAAGTTTTTCGCTGGAAAAAAGAGAGCAATATTTGTGCGATAGATTCTTTCCGGCACAAGCTTATTTAAATATACAATATTATGCAAAATCGATAAAAACAAAATGTCAAAATGTTTTACTATTTACTACAGAGAGGAAGTAAAAGGTATTATTTGCAAAAGAGTGCGATTATTAGAATAGATAGACACTGACAATCGCGCTGATCATTAGAGAATATTAAGTATTTGCGCAACCAGCGTAATTTGCAGACGGAAAAGCGGATAATTCAATAAGCAACGAATATAGACATTGTAACCGAAAACCGAATAATACCACTGAAAGATAATTAGGATTATAACGTAATGAGCCCTGATAATATCAGTGGAAAATATTGGTCAACGACGCTGTATGTTAGAAGGAGAGACGCGTAAGGAAACTAATATAATTGCATATCGACTCGATTCTTCTCTCAACGTAATTTCTAAGAGATCTTTTGCTACCGTAAATATACAGTTACCGTTTTAATCTCGGAATGAAATACTAATTGAAAAAGTGTAAGCGTAAGCACAAGAAATGTAATAAAAAATATATTTTGCAGAATATAAATCTGAGCAAAATATCTATGTTTTTTTCTAATCCATTGAGGAATATTTTAAGAATTAAATAATATAATCAAGTAGACGCGTGGAAATGTTTCACGCGAAAAATATTGCGGGGATTACTAGTAGAGTTATCACCGCGTTTTTAACGCGCAAGATTTGCATATCTAATTATGATTTTCATATTGCTATTTATTGTCGTGCCCGAGGCAACTGATCACGCCCATACATACACAACACAGCTATCTTATCATACGAAGAAGGGAAAAGGCAATTAAGAGCCAGCACGGTAATTTGTGCGCATATGTTTTATTACATATCAAATTACATTGACATTTTAAGTGATAATAGGCATAATCATAAAAAGTGTACGTCTCGATCCTTTTTTTAAGACGTGCATGAAATTTAAAACATTATTCAATAAGTCAAAAAATAGAGAAATGAATGTTCCCTCTATATCCGAGCAATATATTGACATTACGAAGAATCTTAACGTCAGATTGTCCTACTTTAGTCTCAATAAATTACATAGTTACATTAGAGTTCACAAAGACACTCTTCCTAAAGCCTCGCACAGCAATGTCGATTATAAAATTAATTGCAGTAATTGTAATGTCTCATACGTCGGTCAAACGGGCAGACAAGTTACGTACTACAAGGATATCCGAGCATCGCAATCATATTAGATGGAATGCGACGAATCATTGTTTTAATCGATCATAGATTAGAATTTAATTACGATTTTGATTAGGATAGAGTCGAAATTCTGGACAGTGAACCTTTGCTTCAGAAACGCTTAATTTTTGAAATGGTGTACATTAAAAGGGAAAAAAATAGCCTTAATTTTTGCAAATAGACAGAATGTTTATATTATAGTTATACGGATGTAATTGATAAATTACCAAAACTTTGAATGTCACGCCGTCTTATTTATAAACACCCCTCTGTATTCATATTTACTTTATGTACCGTGCGATATGAAGAGACTTGACATTCTGTCTCTGAACGTTCGTATGTAACATTTGCCTTCTGTACAACATGTGTGACTCATTCAAATTTAGTATATTCGTATTGCCAATTGCTCTTTTAATGTAGTATATTTTATCGGACAGTCTCTCTCTCTCTCTGTCTCGAAGGTCCATTATATAACATTTACCTTCTGACAACCATGGATGACTCATTCTTGTTCTGCGTATTATTACTATTGCATTTCTGATATAATATATTTCATATACTTTGTAATTGCGCTGAAGACGGTCAAAAAAAAAGACGGAAACGTACGCTTTTTATGATTATGCCTATCATCACTTAGTTAAAATGTCAATGTAATTTGATTGTAATAAAATATAATATGCGCACAAATTACCGCGCTGGCTCTTAATTGCCTTTTCCATCCTTCGTATGTTATATTCATAAGAGCCTTTATTAGTTTACAATTATCTTAATTAAAATATTTCCCGAGATTGCTAGTCGAAGATTTAGAACATTATTAAAATCATGCAGATTTTAAACATTGTGAGAAATAAATCAAGAGATAACGTTACGTCTTGTTCTGTAAAACAGTCGCGTCGTAGAGTATGTATCATGGCGGCAGGTGCGTACAATTAAGTATAGACGGAATACAGAATCAAGGTCTATCTCGGAGAACGGCATTACATTGTTATCTTGCAAAGTAGACAAGAGAATCGTAAATACCTCACATGCGACACGTCAGTAATATTTCATTTCGTTTTAGCCGGCAAACGCCGAAAGGAAATCAATTACCAAGTATAATTACATCGCAATACAATTAAGGATATCTGGTAAGGTAAATTAGTCGAGTTTACTTTTCCCGAGATTTGTAAAAAGTGCGCTATCTCGTTGATAAGCAGCGACAAATATGAAAATTTCAATAGCGCATTTCTAGACGGGAAGAGCGAGAAAAATCTTGAGCTCGTCAGCCGTCAGCCGCGATCGTCGTCCTCGGATCGTACCTCCTACATCGGCACTTGTTCGATCGATCCGAAGTGAAAAGCACGAGGTGCCGGTGCGAGCGATACAGTGCTCGCTCGCGCCTTTTCCCGGCGAGGTCGAAGCGGCGCGACGCTCGCGTTCACCAGGTTGCACGAGGAGAGGAAATGGCGCGATACGCCGAGGACGTGTACTATGAAACCGCTATCAAATTGGCGCGCGAGGCTGCCCAGGTAAGCGTACTCGATCTCATCTCATCCCGAAAGAGGAAAAATGCCGCGTCGAGATTAACACGTCAAGAGATTATTTGCTTGACACTGAAAAAACATTGCTCGACACGCGCTTCCGTGACTATATGTATATTGTACCTGAAGATAACGTGAACAGAGAGTTAATATATATCACGACATGAAACTCCTCGTAGATGACTTTTGAGAGAATATTTTACACATGCCACGAAACGCGTACATCTATAATCTTTCATCATCCACATTAATGAAATTTCTCTGAAATTAATTTATAATAATTTCCCATCGCATAACTCATATGTGTAATAAGATTTAGATAGAATAATACATGCAATCATATTATAGATAATCTTGAGATACTTTTTAAGACTGCATATCAATTGCAATCGATATTACAACTGCAAAATTGATTTGTTAAGATCGATTTATGTCTGTAAAATTGAAGCATATCAAGTGCTATAATAAACGGAACAAGTGTTACTTTCATCAAATGACACTTTCGAAAATTGAATCGAAAAAGCTCTTAATAGTCCGCGAAATTTAAATTAATGAATCAAGAAAGTTGTTAGGAGAAAAAGCGAGCGTCTAATGAACGCGAATGATTCGCGTTAAATTCGAAGAGAGTATGTAATATCCTGATAATAATATATACCTGTAATAATATATATTTCTATTGTTGCGAAGAATAATCTTTCCATAATCGAAACTAGGAAAACCGAAATTCATCGGACAAGTTGTAAAATACCGCGAATCAAGCGCGATCATCTCTAACTATGCACGCCATTTTAAAACGTGTATTGTAGCACGTTTACCTCGCGGATATAATCGATTGTTTTATACATCACGACTGCTTACATTATCCTCCGTAATCTCTTTCATTTACATATAGCGCTCATTATCTTTTAACGATCTGATATAATCCGCGTCAATCCTTAATAAATACGAAGTGTCGATTAAGATTCTTCGGAGTTCCATCAACGGCCTCAAGCAAGTCGATGAGAAGCTGGGTAATTGGGATCTCGTCACCGAATACGATCGCAAGATAGAGGACGTTATCATCGGCAAACTTAAATGCGCATTCCCGGACCACAGGTGATGATGTCTTTCGAGACGACTCGCATTATTTGAGATGCGGAGATAATAGCGTAAAAAGAGAATAAAGGGATTAACAATAACGTTTTTATCTTTCGTTTATTATCAGGTTTATCGCGGAAGAGTCTAGCGGCAAAGAGCTACCGGAACTGACCGATGTCCCTACGTGGATCATAGATCCCATCGATGGCACTACCAATTTCGTTCACGGATTTCCGCATACATGCGTGGTCATCGGTTTGGCCGTCAAAAAGGAGGTGGTCCTCGGTATCGTGTACAATCCCATTCTCGAGCAACTGTTCACAGCTAGAAAAGGACGAGGCGCGTTCTTGAACGGGAAATCGATTCAAGTGTCCAAAGTTCAAGGTAACGAATTTTTATCTCCGCAATTCGATTTGACAAAAAATGCAAACGCAAATGGTAAATAGAAGGAATAGAAATTGTTATCAATACCAAAGATGTGAAATAAAATGATTTACCAGTTTCCCTACTTATTGTTAGTATTGGTAAAAAAAAAAAAGAATGTACAAGATGATACACTATCTTCTTTCGCAATAACAAAAGATCTTTCAACTAGTCAGTTTCTCACGTCTGAGAAACGTGATTTTACAAGACAAAAGACAATTTTGCAGAATTGAATTAATACCGCGTGAAAGTAGGACGATCAACGTCCTTTAATGTGACTACAAAAATGAAAAAAGAAAAAGAATATGTCTTTTTACCTTCTACCTACACGATGACAGAGATCGGTAGATCAATACTCGCTAATGACTGTGTCGCAATATATCAAGTATGCGGCAGCAATGATTCAGAGAATATGCAACATGTAACTTGAAAAATTTGGTGTCAAGGATAAAGTTAGAAAGCGCGGACAAATATTAATTGCTCTAATTCCACACGATATCGGTGCTGGTAATTAATGCTGTTTTTTTTTTCTCGCAGATTTATCGAAAGCTCTGGTCTGCATGGAATCTGGCTTCATAAAGATAGACGATCTACGGGAAAAGATGGTGGAAAGAATCCAGGATGTCATTAAAGCGGCTCAGGGGTAAGCTTCGATAATATAAAACGGTCTCTCGCACGTGTCTCGTAATTCGTTTCGCGTTTTCTCGCATTATTTGTTCCATCTTGAAGCATTCGCACTCTCGGCGTGGCGGCGTTAACGTTGTGCTACATCGCGCTGGGGATCGTCGAGGCCTATTACATCGAAGGCCCCGGTATTTCGACGTGGGACATAGCCGCGGCATCGCTCATCATTTCAGAAGCGGGAGGCGTCGTCGTGGACCGCATAACAGGTTGCGATATAAAGTTATTATAAATCGTATCGTCGTATCATTCTTATTTTTGCAAATCTGAGAAAGAAATAATGATAACAAAATAAATATTGCAGTCAGAAATATAAAAAAAAAAAAAAAAAAAAAAAAAAAAAAAAATTATTTGAAATTTAGATTGTAGTAACCAATATTGCGCAGGTTAAAGTTTTTAATACGAAATTGATTTTTATAATTTGTTATCAATTCTGAAGATGGACCAAAAATTCTATTATTAATGTATACAATCGCTGTTTCAATCAACATGGATCGTAATTATCGCTTACTTCGCCTTTCGTTACGCTTCAATGGCCACAATATACTTCTTTCGTCTTTTTCTTATTTCAGGCGAACCAATCGACATCATGAAGCCACGAGCGGTAGCTGCGTGCAACGATAAAATCGCCCGCGACGTCGTTAAGATCATCCGTGAGGCTGATCAACGGGTGGACATGAGGGCGAAATAATAATGTCAATAGTTTCAAAATATACGCATTTGGAGATTAAATGACTCTCTGCTATGTCATCAAACTGTGTGATCGTAATACGCGTAAACTTTGTGTCACATTATAAATTAATTAAAAAAAAGAGAGAAATTTTACCCTCCCAAGAGATACTCTCAATTAAGTTAATGCTTGTTTGATTTATAACTCATTGTTAGAGACACAAATCAAGTTTGCGTCTTACAGAGATTGTTCCGATAGTATAAGATCGAAATCATATAACGCAAATTTGCACAACAGTAGAGCGAATCCAATTAAGATTAAAATTATTGGTTTCCTCAATTACGTTTTCGTGTAAACAGCTCACGTACCTATTGTCTCAATCGTAATAATTAATAAAAGATAGGAAATTGCATAATACCAACGCAATATGGAATATTTTGTAATTATACCCGCAATTAAAGACGCATGGTGAGATGATTTTACGATTCGTTTTTTCTCCCGCCCCTTCCTGTTTCTTATCGAAAAGGGCCACAAATTGTGTCTAAATGAGAATTTAAAGCGATACCCGCAGGGAAATTCCATGCCCCGGAACTGTGTCATCTAATTATAGAAGAACCGGCTAATGCATAGGAAGGTGTAAAAACCGCAGTGTTTACGAAATATCATACGTGGAAGCTTGATAGAAAGAATCCCGGGGACTCGCTTCGACAGCCGTGCGTAATCGACTTGACGACGGTGTACCATCCAGCTCTCTTTGACGTCATATCACCGGCTTGTGTGCGGAACTTTCGCGATCGTCGACTGAGATAAATTTCGGTCGTTCCTGCGTTTGACGCTCATTCGATCCGGCACCGTTGACAGTCGGAGTCTCTCGCGGTGCGTGCGTCCTTCTAAGGAGTAATCTGTCAGTACTCGGATACTGCAAACAGGGCTAAGCGACCAGTTTGTTCACCGGCGAGGCAGAAACGTGATTGTGAGAAACATGTGCGAAGCGAACGACTTGGACGAATGTTACAAAATCGCCGAAGAATTGGTCTTGTATGCAGGAAAGGTGCGTTATTAAACGAAGAAAATGTAATGGCAACAACGTTGCGTGATAGTGAGATCACTCAAGATAGACGCCAAGTCACGAGATAACGAATGCGAGATAATGAAATTGATTTTATTCAAAATCTGGTTAAAATATTTGCTTAGCAAATTTTTTTTAAACGCAGATCTTCAAACAATTTTTTTCTTCTTCTTGTATATATTGTATACTGTCAGATTGCGTTTATGCAGTCCAAAAAAAAAAAAATAAAAGTCTACATTCAAAATATTTATTAAATAAATATTAACTGATTTTAATTGAAACAAAATCATTATAATTTGCTGAATTAATTTATATCAATTTATTATTTAAAAAATTATTTAATAATTTTTTTTTATTTAGATTTATAATCATATATTCCCACAATCCAAATTTGTGAAAGTTCTTTTAATGATGAATTTGAACTTGATTTCTCCTTAATGAAAATGTAATTAATAACTTTTACGTTATATGCAATCATAAGAGAAAGAATTAAATTTTTGAGAGCCAAATATATAAATAACAAAATATTCTTCAATTAATTTCAAGTGGTTATTTCAATAGAATCTTTTAATTTGAGTCATAATAAAGATATATCATATGATATAAAATATATAATAAAGATATATCATATTATATAATTTGAGCCATAATAAAGATATATCATTTTATGCAAAAAACTAAAAAGATGCAATAACGATATTCTTTTACACATTTAAGCTAAGTAATTAACAAAATAGTCTAATTTAATCGAAGCATCTATTAAAAGAGCTGTACAATTCTCAAAGAAAAAGAACCATTTCATATAAATAATTAATATTTTTTTTTATGTACTGAATAATATTAAAAATTATACTTATAAAAAATATATTTAAAAAATGCTAAGAATATATATATATATTTAGACGAAATGTATATTATAGAAGATCACTTCACTC